TTGATAAAAAGACAATTTCAGCCACACAGCATTGAACAAAGCAAATAATTACATGTCCTGGCTCATACATTTGGAGTGGACACTTCACTCCTCTCATATAGATCAGAAGAAATCAGTGAATATTTGTAAAATAATATTCTTTTATGCAAAGATTCCAAAAGATTCCAAAAACATACCCTCAAGAAGGTGACTGAGAAAACCACTTAGCCACAAGAAGATAATTTTCTACAATTATGGTAAGCAAGCAATGAGATATTGGAAAGGGGGGGGGAACATTCCAGAGGAATGAACCAAGAGGAATGGTAAAAAAATGAAAAATATGCTCCAAGGAAATAGAAAAGTGCCTTTACTTATTAATGTTCTTCATCTACAATATAAAAGGCACCCACATATCTGCCCATTGAGATTTGAGAATATCTGAGAACAAATTCCTGTGTTTCTCTTGCTCTTCTTTATAGGACTGTTAATTGATGTTATCAGGACCTTGAAACACCAAATGTTTTGCGTATTTTGATGACTTGCATTTCACAGGTCATGTAATAAGAAAAATCATTTCTAGACCTGCTTCGTACATCCTCATCACATGGCTAAATGCAACTTTTGGTTGTCTCCTTTTGGGGATGTTGAACTTATTTTGTTGGAGAAAATTAAGTGAACCAAACAAGGAGAGCTTGTTGATTCATGATGCTGGTTAATAATCTTGACTTCCTTCTTCTGGACTAAGAATCGTATTGCACTTCCCTTGTCCTTGAAGTATGGGATGGTCTGTAAAACATGAGGGAAATAAGCATGTGTAACACCTGGCTAGATGATTTAAGATCAAATAACTGTCCTTCCATGTCCTCTTTTCACATGTCACAGACTGCTGATGTTCACAGCAAGAGAAGTATCATTAGCTGCTTCTGAAGAGATGCAAGTTCCAAGATGATATGTGGCATGATCAAGAATTCCATCTTTTTTATTTTATGATGTGGGGTCTTTTAAGCCATTGTTGGTTAAGCAGCATGGACTATATGTTTTCCAGTCTCTAGACTCTTACACATTCATTGACTTATTCCTGGCTCAGACATTGTGTCATTTCAATGAGAAAGTGCGGGTGTATAATTATAAATATATGTATATGTAAATATATATTTTTATATATAAAGCCAATTCGCACATAGTCTCTGACATAAAATATGTGAACATACTGAAGTGAGATATAATAGAAGATTACATATATGGAAGAAAAAGTTCATACACTTTTCTCAAATTTTTTTGAATTAATTAGGAGTACAAGAATAAAAAAGGAATTTGAAAAATCATATTTTTAAAAATATTTTATTTATTTGACAGAGAGAGTGCACAAGCAGGGGGAGCAGCAGAGGGAGAGTGAGAAGAAGGGATCCCAACACGGGGCTGGATCCCAGGACCCTGGATTCATGACCTGAGTCAAAGGCAGCCGCTTAACTAACTGAGCCACCCAGGTGCCCCCAAAATCATAATTTTCATTAAGGTTTCTGTCCATGTGCTGTATATTAGTTTTAACACTGTTGTTTTGAAGTGTAAACAAATTTTATCTTTTCAGCTTTTCAAAATAGACACTGAGTCTATCAAAATAAACTAGGCTTTTAACTTGTGTTGACTATGCCCCTCTTCAATAAAATCCCCATGAGAGACAGGAAGTGATCATGGAATGTAGGAAGTTTCTCAAAATTGTAGATATTCTCAGCCTTTGAGGCTCCACATAACCTCTCTCCTCTCCAAAATTATTCTCATTTATAAATTTCTTTCTTCCATGAGCAAACATTTTTTTAAAGATTTATTTATGGATTTAAAGAGGGGGAGGGCAGGCAGAGAGAATCCTCAAACAGACTCAGTGTTGAGCATGGAGCCTGATATGGGGCTCTATACCAAGACCCAGAAAAAGGAATCTAAGCATAAGTAGAACCATATATTTAACAAAATGATATAAAAATCATATGATCATCTCAATAGGTGCAGGAAAAAACATTTGATAAAATGCAACATATTGTCTTGATAAAAACTCTCCAAACATTAGTTATAGAAAAAAAAAACACACATAATAAATCAATACTAAAAATGCTGAAAACTTTGTTTCTCTAAGATCAGAAACAACACAAGAATGATCATCTTAAAATTTCTATTCCATATAGTACTGAGAGTTCTAGCCAGAACAATTAAGCAAGGAAAAAATAAAAGATATTCAAAGTAGCATTATCTTTTAGTATAAATACAAGCATGTATATCAGACTTAATATTCCCAGGATTTCTACATTAAACACCTCAAGATAAATATTACTCAGGAAGTAATGATCTATTATTTTTGTCTTTCATCTTACAGTCAAAATTTTAATATAAAGATGTAATGTAGGAACATACAAATAATTGAATAGATGTGTAGTCTTACTAATTTTATTGAATAGTTTCCTTCTATTTAAATGTAATTTCCCTTCTGTTTAAATTTAAGGACATATTCTGAATGTTTTATTCATGTACTGAGAGATGTGACAGAAAAATGAAAAGAATATTTTTCAAACTAGTTAAGGCAAATTAGTGCTGTATAATGAATTTTCAAAATCTTGACAAATGTAAAATGGTAAAAAAATATTTGAGCATATTGCATTCACTAGGTAAAGTGCATGGAAGCCTTTCTTTTACCTGGGAGACAAGTTTGGGATATGACTGTGTTTATAGCTAAAGACTTGGTATCTAATGATGACAGCATCTTCTATAATTAGTCTCCAAACTTCTAGAGGTTAGGATGGTGTAAACTGCATGTTACATCTCTTTACTTACATTTAGTATTATTAGACAGAGAATATTTAATGTCATATAGAGAGAAAGAGACTATAACTTTATAAGGGTAGCACAGATTTGGAAGATTTTACAGGATATGTAACATTTGTCTTCCCACTTTTAAACATAGTGTTAGGAAGCTCACCATTAGAGTATACCTCTTTGGATTCAAGAACAGATTTCATTCAACATTCTGGATGGCATAGAAGGTATCATTTTATCTATCATTCTAGCATCATGGAAGGATATTCCAGATGCCTGATTGACCAGTTAGGCAAAGATTCTTAAAAGATGGTTGTACACCTGGGTGGCTTAGTTGGTTAAGCAGTGGACTCGATCTCAGCTCAGCTCTTGAACTTCAGGTGCCCCATGGAAGTGGAAAGAAAGTAGCAGAACCTAGAAGAGGAAGTAGTTGTTGAATTTATTATGGAGTACTTCTAATATCTGAAGACAAATGTAGACAAAATATTCTTGTAGAGGCAGCACAAACTCTTTAAAAATGTAAATATAATTGATATATTGTGGATAACTTTGGATATCAGAGTCCATAGTCAAAAATACCTTGAACAAACATTTACTGAGAACCTACAATAGGCCAGGGACTACTATGTGATGGGGTTCTGCAGAAAATAGACGTTACATATACTTTTGTTTTCTTTTTTTTTTTTTTTTTTTAGATTTATTTATTTTAGAGAAAGGGAGACAGGGAAAGGGAGGGAAAGTGTTAAGCAGACTCTGTACCTGTGTGCACAGCCTGACCTGGGGCTTGATCTCATGACCCTGATATGACAACCTGAGGCAAAACCAAGAGCTGGGCATTTAACTGACTGTGTCTCTCAGATGCCCCCACACTTCTCAACACTAAAATCGAGTATGGATTTTTGATGAGAATGAGCATAACAATTGAAATCATTAATGGAAAATGGAAAACCAGAATGACAAAATTATTTTTGGCAGTGAGAAAAAGTCAACAACTTTGGATAATGATATATTGAATTTGAGTTGTCAATAATATTCATTGATTTTTTTATTCATAGATTTTAAAGACTAACTTATGATCCACCAGTTCATGGAAGGCATCGATGCCCTTAAATCTCAATCCATGTCCTTACCGAATTTTACTGAGCTGTTGGTCAAACCAGTCAAAACAGCAAGACCTACTTAAACATGTATATATCTGCAACGTCATTCAAAGGTTAATCTTTTCATATACCTAACGTTATAGCAAAACAGTGGCCACATTCCAGGCCATCAAAATAGAGTGTAGAGGTTTATTTCATAATGAAGTATCTCAATAATCACTAAAATAAAACAGAAAAATACACATTATTTATATTTTATCAGGGACATATTTGTACATTTGCTTCCCAAAGGGAAAACCAAAACACATTTCATTCAAACTTAAAAGAGTGTTTTTGTTGTTGTTTTTAAGATTCATGGTGCTTGAACTTACAACCCTGAGATCAAGAGTCACATGCTCTACTGACTAAGCCAGACAGGAACCCCAAACTTATGAATAGTTCTTAAAGAAGGCAAATAACTTGTTTTATATGTTATTTATTTTTCATGATTTGCAGCAGTGTTTTCTTAAATTCTCTCTGTGTGTATAAGTATGTATGCATGTATATCTATTTATTGAGGGATAGATCATACATAGTGAATTTGTGCACATATAGTAAAGGGAACACTTAAGTCACTACCCACATCTAAACAATTTCATTATTTAGGAAACAATATGATTCTCTATATAAAGAATTAATGAAATATAATTCAATTTTGAGGAGTTAATAAAATTGGCCCAATTAAAATATATTCTCATTTTAACTGAATAAAATTTTCATTTTTTACATTTAAATGCTGATATTTACAAATTACAGATTAAATTATAAATACAGATTAAGCTAGTTTTTATAGTATATCATTACTTATTATTTTAGAAAGATGTATAAATAATACATTTCATTTTCTTTAAGCTTTATCCAAATAAAAAATGAGACAGAAAATTGAGTTCCATATGCTATTCATTTATTCAGGTATTTAAAGGATATTATTGAGCAACTACTATATACCAGGCATTGTGTAGCCATTCAGTTTATACAGAGGGCAAAACAACGATTTCACATTGGGAAGTTTAAGTTCTGATGAGTTAGAATGACCATAAAAAATAAATTTAGTTCATAAGTTTATTGAATATGTAAAAGATGAAAAGTGTTTTGCAAAATGCATCAAAGGACAGCACAGTAAGGAGAAATAGGCAAGTCGGGGGTTACTGAGATTTTAAGTACACTGTTCAGGGTAGGTCTCATTTAAAAAGTGACCTTTGACAAAAGATTGAACTGCATTTAAGAATACGGAATTAAGACTACATGGAGCTGACAGCTTTCTCAATAGACCACTATCATCAGTTGATTCAAACAAATAAATGGCCATGTTGTAAACCAAGCCCACTTCCAAAGCTTGTTGAGAGTCTGTTGACTTGAACTGCAAAACCTGCATCACTCTCATTTTATTATGCTTCTAAATGTAAATGAGTTTGAGATTTACGCCACTGCATTTTAGCTCTATTTTTTCTATTTTAGGAAAAGAGTGGAGTTCATGATGGGGCATGAGAATCACAGTTTCACCAGTGATTTCATTCTTTTAGGACTCTTTTCTTCTTCTCAATCAAGTCTAGTTTTCATCTCCTTTATATTCATCATTTTTATTATGACTATAACAGAAAACACAATCATGATCCTCCTTATCCTCAGGGACTCAAGACTCCATACTCCAATGTATTTCCTGCTCAGCCATCTGTCTTTCATGGACATCTTGCATATTTCCAACATTGTTCCCAAAATGGTCACTGACTTTCTGTCAGGCAGCAGAACTATTTCATTCACAGGTTGTGGCTTCCAGATATTTCTATCCCTCACCCTCCTGGGTGGTGAGTGCCTTCTCCTGGTGGCAATGTCTTATGATCACTATGTAGCCATCTGTCACCCACTGCACTATCCCATTCTTATGAATGACTATGTCCGCATTCTCATGGCTAGAGGGTCCTGGATTGTTGGGACCGTCAACTTCATAGTCCACACAGCTTATGCACTCCAGTTTCCCTTCTGTGGCCCAAGAGCCATTGATCACTTTTTATGTGAAGTCCCTGCCATGTTGAAGTTGTCCTGTGTGGACACAACACTCTATGAACGAGGAGTTTATGTAAGTGGCTTAATTTTTCTCCTTGTCCCTTCCTCCCTAATCCTTGCTTCTTATGTCCAAATTCTCCTTACTGTTCTTCAAATGAAATCATCAGAAGTACGGAAAAAGTCATTTTCTACCTGTTCCTTCCACATGATTGTGGTCACAATGTACTATGGGCCATTTATTTTCACATACATGAGACCCAAATCATACCACACTCCGGGCCAGGACAAATATTTGGCAATATTCTATACCATCCTCACACCCACACTGAACCCTATCATCTACAGTTTTAGGAATAAAGATGTTCTGAAAGCAATGAAAAATATGCTCAAAGTAACTTTCTCCATTAAAGATAGTAATAAAAATGCTTGAAGCATGTGTTTTCTATATCAATATTCAATGCTTAGAGATTATCCATTAATCATATCTTTAGAAAGAAAATCAAAGTTTCTATCCATCAAGAGTGGAAAGTGGATTTTTCCAAACCTCCAGTGAAAATTAAAAGAAAGTTTTACAGGTATTTGTTTTATAAATACATACATCCAGAAATGTACTGTTCCCTCCCATGAAAAATTCTAAGATCTTATAAAAATTGACTTTTATAATACTATCACGTTATATGGGATCTATCCATATAACTTTTGTATTTCATGAAACAGTAAAATTATAATTCCAAGGTTACAAGCAGTTATCAAAAATTCATAAAAAATTATAGGCAAGGGCGCCTGGGTGGCTCAGTCATTGGGCGTCTGCCTTCGGCTCAGGTCATGATCCCAGGGTCCTGGGATCGAGTCCCGTGTCGGGCTCCCTGCTCGGCGGGAGGCCTGCTTCTCCCTCTCCCACTCCCCCTGCTTGTGTTCCTGCTCTCGCTATCTCTCTCTGTCAAATAAATGAATAAAAAAATCTTAAAAAAAAAATTATAGGCAAAATGAGTGCAGGTGTTCAAGAGGTAAAAATTCTAGTTATATGATACATAAGTTAAAAATAAGTAAGTCCTGTGATGTAATGTAGAGCATGGTGACTGTAGTTAACAATGGTCTGTTGTATATAAGAAAGTGGCTGAGAGTGTAGGTTTTAGTAGTTCTCATCATAACAAAATGAATTGTAGCTCTGTGTGGTGACAGATGATAACTAAACTTATTTTGATAATTATTTTATAATATATAGATATATCAAATTTTTATGCAGTACACCTAAGAACAGTAGAATTATATCAATTATACCTCAATAAAACAGAAACATAAACCAATGTATTCTAGTATTTAATAAATCATATATTATTATGTATTTTAATATACTAATACATTATGTAACTTATTTGATATACTCAATGCATTAAATATTATTTAGTAAGAATAACATTTATTAAGAGTTATTTAAGAACTAGCATTCAATTTCTATTAATATGAGTTCTAAATCATGAAAACACTTCCATTTGAAATCCACAATCCCTGTTTTCTTGCACAATGATGTAAACAAATATTGCATGTAAGAACCTCCATACATCAATTGCATCCCTGTCCTGGTACCCCTGGATCTTTTTTGTATTGTGAATGTCTGAGTGAGAGGACTACACCTCTGTACAGAGAAAGTGATGGAGAGGGGCCAAAAACAATCTAGCAGGCACAAGCAATTTCTGTTTTTGCTCCCTTTCAAACTTAATTGAGAGGGAATCTGGGAAACAAAATGTCAGAACTACATTAAATCACAAACCAGCACAACGACATGCATCACTCTGCCCTCACCTGGAAGTTTCAAAAAAAACACAAAACTTTTCGGAACTCCACTTGAAATATCCATTGTTCATTGAATAGTTTGTTTTGAAACCTTTGTTACTGAAGTGAGAAATATATATACATACACTTACATATATACATTAATTGTGGTACAATGAAAGTACTCATCCTTTCTAGAAGCAAACACAAAATATTTAATGTGTGTATTAAAATTGTGTCTTGTTTTAGGTACACATATAGGGTTACATTTTGTAACATTTTTAGCATTTTATCCTAAAAATTAGTGCAAAGAAGAAAAATATTTTTTAAGACTTTATTTTTTAAGATTTTATTTATTATCAATTGCCTTATAGAAGTAGTTGCTCCCATGTTAGAGGCATAGATATTTACAATTGTTAGATCTTCTTGTTGGATAGACCCATTAAGTAGGATATAGTGTCCTTCCTCATCTCTTATAATCTTTGGTTTAAAATCGAATTTGTCTGATATAAGGATTGCCACCCCAGCTTTCCATTAGCATTGGAAATGCCTTTCCACCCCTTCACTTTTGATCTCGGGGTGTCTTTGGGTCTAAAATGAGTCTCTTGCAGACAGCATATCCATGGGTCTTGTTTTTTAATCCACTCTGATAGCCTATGTCTTTTGATTGGGGCATTTAGCCCATTTACATTCCGGGTAACTATTGAAAAATAGGAATTTAGTGCCATTGTATTGCCTGTAAGGTGACTGTTACTGTATATTGTCTGTGTTCCTTTCTGGTCTATGTTGCTTTTAGGCTCTCTCTTTGCTTAGAGGACCCCTTTCAAGATTTCCTGTAGGGCTGGTTTTGTGTTTGCAAATTCCTTTAGTTTTTCTTTGTCCTGGAAGCTTTTTATCTCTCCTATTTTCAATGACAGCCTAGCTGGATATAGTATTCTTGACTGCATATTTTTCTCATTTAGTGCTCTGAATATATCATGCCAGTCCTTTCTGGCTTGTCAGGTCTCTGTGGATAGGTCTGTTGCCAATCTAATATTTCTACCATTGTAGGTTACAGACCTCTTGTCCCGAGCTGCCTTCAGGATTTTCTCTTTGTCTCTGAGACTCATAAGTTTTACTATTAGATGTCGGGGTGTTGACCTATTTTTATTGATTTTGAAGGGGGTTCTCTGTGCCTCCTGGATTTTGATGCCTGTTTCTTTCCCCAAATTAGGGAAGTTCTATGCTGTAATTTGCTCCAATATACCTTCTGCCCCTCTCCCTCTTTGTTCTTCTTCTGGGATCCCAATTATTCTAATATTGTTTCGTCTTATGGTATCACTTATCTCTCGAATTCTGCCCTCGTGATCCAGTAGTTGGTTATCTCTCTTTTTCTCAGTTTCTTTATTTTCCAACATTTGGTCTTCTATATCACTAATTTTTCACTAATTTTTTCTTCTGCCTCATTTATCCTAGCAGTTAGAGCTCCATTTTTGATTGCACCTCATTAATAGCCTTTTTGATTTCAACTTGGTTAGATTTTAGTTCTTTTATTTCTCCAGAAACGGTTTCTCTAATATCTCCCATGCTTTTTTCAAGCCCAGCTAGTATCTTTAAAATCATGATTCTGAACTCTAGGTCCAACATCGTACTAATGTCCGTATTGAGTAGGTGATTTTTTTCATCTTGTCATTTTGTGCAGAGCACAATAGATGAATGAGAGAACAAAATGCTAAGAGGGTAACAATGACACCAGAAACATATACACTAAACAAATCAGAAAAGACCTGAAACTGGGGGAAAAGAAAGGGAAAGAAAAAAAGAAAAAGATTAAAAAAAAAAACAGGATATGATCAAATATGATCAGGCTGGTTCATAGATCAGTGCCACACACTAGATTTTGGGTGTATTTTGGTCTGTTAGGAGAAACTGCCTCCCAAAAGTTTAAAGAAAGAAAAACTTACATATGTACAAAAATAAGGTTAAATACGAAGAAGGGATGGAATATGACTGGAAAGATGAAAATTATAAAAGAATTGATAAGAAGTTGTTTGAAAAAAGAAAGAAGAGGAATAAAAAAAAAAGAGGGCGAGAATGTGATCAGGCAGGAGACTAGAACAAAGCCATACACTAGAGATTTAGGGTATATTTTGGTGTGTTAGAAGCAGCTGTAACCCAAAATTTTAGACAGAACAACATATATATATATATATATATATATATATATATACCAAAAATAACTCTAAACTACTATGAAGGGATAGAATATGACTCTTAAATGAAAAAAATTTTTTTAAAGGGAATGATAAGTTGTTGGTTGAAAAAGGGAAAAAGAAAAAAAATTTTTAAAAAAAGCAAAAGAAAAAAAGAAAATTAAAAATATTCACTTTGAAAGACCAAAGAATCATGGGAAAAAAAGCCATGAAATCCATGTGCTGTATTCCCCTAGTGCTGGAGATCTGCCATTCTCATTGATTGGTAAACTTGGTCATGGCTGGCTGATTTTTTTTTTTAAGATTTTATTTATTTATTTGACAGAGAGAGACACAGTGAGAGAGGGAACACAAGCAGGCGGAGTGGGAGAGGGAGAAGCAGGCTTCCGGAGGATCAGGGAACCTGATGCGGGACCCTGGGATCATGACCTGAGCCGAAGGCAGACGCCTAATGACTGAGCCACCCAGGTGCCCCTCGGCTGGCTGTTCTTGCTGATCTTTTGGCAAAGGGTCCTGTTGCCGAGGTTCTCAAATGTCTTTTCCCGAGGAGTAATTACCCTGCCCTTGCTGGGGGCAGAGCTAAGTAATCTGCTCGGGTTTGCTCTCAGGAGCTTTTGTTCCCTGCAAGCTTTCTGTACAGCTTTGGAGGCAGAGAGTGAAAATGGCAGCCTCCCAATCTCCGCCCCAGAGGAGCCAAGAACTCGGGCCCCCGCTTCTCAGTGAGCCCCCAGAAAAAAGCAATCAATCACTCCCATTTCCCGATCCCGTATGGATTCTCTGAACCCAGCAGATTCCTGAGGTGGCTCCTGCGCCGCTCCTCCTGGGGGAGGAAGGTGAGTCTCCCCAGATCTGCCACTTGTTGGGTCCCTGCTGGAGGAACAGTGGCCTGACTGTGCCCCGGATCACAGTTTATGGCAACCCTGAGCTGAGAGCTGACTCCTCGGCTCTCTCTCTGCAGCCAGCTTCCCCGCTCCGCTACCTGGGAGCTCAGCCACACTCAGGCACCCCTGGTCTTTCTGTGACTCCGAGGGTCTTGAGACCACACTGTCCCACAAGGGTTCCACCCCCCGCTTAGCCACTGAGCAACGTCCCTCAGCAGAGCCGACTTCTCAAAGTTCCAATTTTGTGCTCGGCTCCTCTATCACTTGCCGGAAACGGCTGACGGAGGCCCCCTCCCCCACTGTCTGTCTTCCCAAATATCACCTCGGATTCACTTCTCCGCATGTCCTACCTTCCAGAAAGTGGTCGCTTTTCTGTTCAGAGAGTTGCTGCTATTCTTCTCTTCGATATCCTGTTGAGTTCGTAGATGTTCAGAATGGTTTGATCCCTACCTAGCTTAATTCCTAGGACCAGACAAAATTTAGATCTCCTACTCCTCCGCCATCTTGCTCCTCCCCTGCAATCTATCTTCTGTAGTGATGGGTCTATTATAGGACTCAGTCTGTTTTCTTAATTAAGTTATTTT